CTATTCTCATTATCGATTAGTTGGTTGGGTCCCCCAGCTCTCTCCTCCACGCTGGTAGGATGGCACAGCAAGCAGGGGGTGGGTGCAATAGCCAGCCTGCTATTGGCTAAAGCAATTTGAAATGGCCAATAGCAGGCTGGCTTTTGCACCAGTCCACTACCTGCTGTATTTACATTCAGCTGCCATCTGCGGAATATTGCCACTGGCAGCTGTCATTACCTGGCTGCAGCTATTCAAGCGCCATGTGCTTATAAAACAAATTATATATATATATATATATAAATAAAGGTGGGGAAAAAGTCATTTTCGGTTTTGGCCTGACAAATTCTGCTGTGGGAGGTGCGTTGCAGTGCTATTCATTTCAATGGCACCTCACACGCGCCTCCCACCCACAATGTGATCGCCCGCACTTGAACACACGGTAGTGTGATTGCAAAAAATCGTGCATGCGGTTTTATTCTGAAGTAAACTTTATGTTTGTAACACTCCATTTGTGTATTTTATTTTAAATGAAGGGAGGTATTTCATTTCTTTTTATCCGATTAATCGAAAAAATAATCGGCCAACTAATCGAATATGAAAATAATCATTAGTTGTGGTCGCAGGTACTCACGTTAGTCAGACTTGACATAACGTGGTACAATAGAGGGAGTCAAAGGATAGTAAAACTGGCCATACACTATTTGAATTTTAACCAGTTCTCGATGAACCGGCTGAAATTCCCACATTGAGAGCCGCTGTCAGCAGCCTGTCGGCTGATCGCAGGAGCTGGTTGGAAAGCCTTCAAACGAACAGAGCTGGCAGCCAATGATCTGCCAGCAATGTTTGGGTATTCCGACAGCGGCTGGTGGCTGCCGTCAGCATACAATAAAGACAGCGGGAGATTCCTCGATCAACGTTCATAAGCGTTGATGGGGGAATCTAATATTTTCTTCATTCAGCCCGCAGGTTGAACAAAGAAAATATTACAATATAAGGGCAGTTTTAGGGCTTGTGTAGACGAGCGGTGTTGTCAAAAGCAGCTTTTTGTATTTGAACACAGAGCTGTTCAAACGCATCCGTCGTATCTGTAATGGAAAAGCATCTAACTATGACCTGCTGCATCCAAATGCAATGCAAAGGAGGTCAAATGCAGCCTCAGGACAGTCATCCACACTACACAATTGAAGTAAAGTGTTATGACATGGAGCATGCTGATTGGAGAAGAAAAGAAAACAACAAATTGATGAGCTCCTCACTGTGCTGCTTTTCCTGTCTAGTCACAGGCTGGGGGCGGGTCCATGACAGCGTGGCATTAGAGGAGGTGGGTGGAATGATGCTGGTCGTCATTCAACTCAGAAGAGAACATGCAGTGATGGAAAAGGGGCAGCTCTGGCATAAAGGTGAGCAGTGATGGAAAAGGGGCAGCTCTGGCATAAAAGGGGCAGCTCTGGCATAAAGGTGAGCAGTGTTGGAAAAGGGGCAGCTCTGGCATAAAGGTGAGCAGTGAAGGAAAAGGGGCACCTCTGGCATAAAAGTGAGCAGTAATGGAAAAGGGGCAGCTCTGGCATAAGGGTGAGCAGTGTTGGAAAAGGGGCAGCTCTGGCATAAAGGTGAGCAGTGAAGGAAAAGGGGCAGCTCTGGCATAAAGGTGAGCAGTGAAGGAAAAGGGGCAGCTCTGGCATAAAGGTGAGCAGTGAAGGAAAAGGGGCAGCTCTGGCATAAAGGTGAGCAGTGAAGGAAAAGGGGCAGCTCTGGCATAAAGGTGAGCAGTGAAGGAAAAGGGGCAGCTCTGGCATAAAGGTGAGCAGTGAAGGAAAAGGGGCAGCTCTGGCATAAAGGTGAGCAGTGAAGGAAAAGGGGCAGCTCTGGCATAAAGGTGAGCAGTGAAGGAAAAGGGGCAGCTCTGGCATAAAGGTGAGCAGTGAAGGAAAAGGGGCAGCTCTGGCATAAAGGTGAGCAGTGAAGGAAAAGGGGCAGCTCTGGCATAAAGGTGAGCAGTGAAGGAAAAGGGGCAGCTCTGGCATAAAGGTGAGCAGTGAAGGAAAAGGGGCAGCTCTGGCATAAAGGTGAGCAGTGAAGGAAAAGGGGCAGCTCTGGCATAAAGGTGAGCAGTGAAGGAAAAGGGGCAGCTCTGGCATAAAGGTGAGCAGTGAAGGAAAAGGGGCAGCTCTGGCATAAAGGTGAGCAGTGAAGGAAAAGGGGCAGCTCTGGCATAAAGGTGAGCAGTGAAGGAAAAGGGGCAGCTCTGGCATAAAGGTGAGCAGTGAAGGAAAAGGGGCAGCTCTGGCATAAAGGTGAGCAGTGAAGGAAAAGGGGCAGCTCTGGCATAAAGGTGAGCAGTGAAGGAAAAGGGGCAGCTCTGGCATAAAGGTGAGCAGTGAAGGAAAAGGGGCAGCTCTGGCATAAAGGTGAGCAGTGAAGGAAAAGGGGCAGCTCTGGCATAAAGGTGAGCAGTGAAGGAAAAGGGGCAGCTCTGGCATAAAGGTGAGCAGTGAAGGAAAAGGGGCAGCTCTGGCATAAAGGTGAGCAGTGAAGGAAAAGGGGCAGCTCTGGCATAAAGGTGAGCAGTGAAGGAAAAGGGGCAGCTCTGGCATAAAGGTGAGCAGTGAAGGAAAAGGGGCAGCTCTGGCATAAAGGTGAGCAGTGAAGGAAAAGGGGCAGCTCTGGCATAAAGGTGAGCAGTGAAGGAAAAGGGGCAGCTCTGGCATAAAGGTGAGCAGTGAAGGAAAAGGGGCAGCTCTGGCATAAAGGTGAGCAGTGAAGGAAAAGGGGCAGCTCTGGCATAAAGGTGAGCAGTGAAGGAAAAGGGGCAGCTCTGGCATAAAGGTGAGCAGTGAAGGAAAAGGGGCAGCTCTGGCATAAAGGTGAGCAGTGAAGGAAAAGGGGCAGCTCTGGCATAAAGGTGAGCAGTGAAGGAAAAGGGGCAGCTCTGGCATAAAGGTGAGCAGTGAAGGAAAAGGGGCAGCTCTGGCATAAAGGTGAGCAGTGATGGAAAAGGGGCAGCTCTGGCATAAAGGTGAGTATTGCAGCAAAATCTGATTTTTATTATATCTCTTAAATTCATTTTCTCTTTTCTCTTAATTCATTTTCTAAAATGCTTAGTAACTGAAAGTCTGCTCTAACCCTCTCTTGTTCAAAAGGAGACCGGCATTTATCAGTATTGGTAACTTGATAATAATTCTATGACTCCTTTTCACACCTTAATTATTTTGTAAAAAATTTTAAGGACATAAAAGGTGTTTCTGGTACACAGTTTTAAAAAATACAAGCCCTTCAAGCAGAAAAGAAAAAGGAACAGATCTACAAAAATAAATGTAAAAAAAGAAGCTTATGCCATCAATCCAGAGTAATTATTTTCTGCCACACTAGATGTCACCAGTCTTCCGGATTAAATGGTAACCAGCGTCATTCAACATTCTTCCTCTGAGCCCAAGCTGTCAAGGACCCATCCCTTGGGGCTGCGTCATCGGGGCGGCAGCGGTGTAGAATCCCCCGACGCCCGGGACATGCAGTTCCTGGGAGCCAACTTGTTTTCTACATTTAGTCCTGCTTTGGGCAAGCAGGGCTAAATGTAGTGAGAGGAAGCCGCTGGTTTGTTTACAAGTGATCTCAGCGAGGTCACCAAAATCACTTGTAATAAGCCTGCAGCCTTTCTGTTCTCCTCTACCCCCCGCACCTACTTCTCTCCTCGCTTGCTTGGTCCTCAGTCTGCCACCGAGTCACTCCTCACTGGCGGGCGATGCGGGAAGCAGAGCGGCAGGGTTAAAAGTAACCCTGCTGCGTCGTGTAAACAGTGAGAGGGGAGAGCAGTCTGTCACAGGAGTTTCAGCACAGTGCTGTGCTAGAACTCCTGTATTGGAGGTGACAAGGTCAATAAAGGGAACCTGTCACCTCCAAATGCTATCACACAGGAGCTTGTTAGCTCCTGTGTGATAGCGATAAAGTGAAAAAAAAAGATAAAAAAATGTATTAACCTCCCCGGCGGTATGATTTTTTCATGTAATTTTTCGGTCTATTTTTTTTTCCGATTTTTAAAAAAATATCCAGACGGTTCCACCCCCATGCGACGCGTACGCTCGCAAGGGACGGAACCCGGATGCCGGCATCGGCTGGAGAACACAGCACGGCTCGAGGGACAAGGTAAGTGAATGCTATGCGGCATTCCCGAGTGTAGCTCGGGGTTACCGCTTATGGTATGGAAAAGTAACCCCGAGCTACACTCGGGAATACCGCCAGGGAGGTTAAATAATAAAAGTAAAAAATAATAAGGGAAACAAAATATTAAAAAAATAATAAGAAAATAATTATAAAATAAACAAGAAGATAAAAAAAGTAAAAAATAAGATAAATAAACATTTTAAAAAGTAAAAAAAATTAAAAAATGTAAGTGATAAAAAAATGAAAACTAACCCTGCCACCCCTGCTATCCGGTTGCCATTCTCCATTAATGGGGGAGGGGCCTTGGGGTTGGTGGGGAGGGGGGCGCACTGCAGAACCTGGCCTTGGGACAGCAGGGATGCCAGCGTAGGCGCGGAATACTGTAAAGGATCCTGAACATGTCACCCGGGATCCACTGATCACAGATGTATTCTCTGCAGACTCAAACGTAATAAAATAATAAATGCATTTTTTCCTGTTGCTTCATGTGCAACTACTTTTTGTAGAAGCTGTGCTGTGCCTTTATTTGCATGATTAATAAGCCTTTCACATAATGTCCCTTTCTGCTGATACATTGAGGGGGATTCATCAAGACTGGAGTAGTAGAATCTGGAGCAGTTGCCCATGGCAACCAATCAGCTTCTTTCTTCAGTCTGTTGAATTAAGATTTGAGAATGAAAGAGAGAAGCTGATTGGTTGTAATGGGCAACTGCTCCAGTTTTGATAGTTAACCGTCTTTGTACTTAGTGGAAGGCTAGCAGTGTTCTTCCAGAGCTCCATCAGCAGCCTCTCTGATCACAAGCACACACCAAACTGACAAGCGGGCAGCGGCGCGCTCGCTGCTGTCATGTGATCAGACACGTACCAATGAGAAGCACGCATGCGCAGAGGAGAAGCCGGCTCCGGGGCGCTTTTTGGATGCGAGAAGGGCCTGCTGTGGTCCCTGGGTACAGACGCAGCGCCGGTCACCCGTGAGTGTGCCAACCTCCACCCTGACACCATGAGTGCATGCCCGGGTCACCTGCCTTCAGCTCCCATCCCCCTGGGGGCACTACTACTCCCAGCACTTTCCCCTGCCTTATAGTACGCTGGCATTGCAGTTCACGTTGTATTCGGTCACAGCTTGTCCTGAGTGCCTGTCCGGTATGTGTCCCCCTTAGTGGTCCGAGCCGGGAACAGTGCTGTGCTATGAAGAATTCTTCCTGGAAATGTCCCGTGTTCACTATACCCCACCTGCACTTTCCAGGAGCTTTCCATGTTTTATAGGATTTGTAGGGAAATGAATAGAAGTCCGGGCTTTAAAGGGTTTACCTAGTAGTTAATATAATGATGTGCAGGGACTGGACA